TGAACGTAATGGCACCAAAGTAATCCCTGTCTGTGATTTTACTTGGCTCCTTTTCCAACCTGCGTATGTGAAGGTCAATGAGATCTCAGGTGATTCTATTTTCTTTCCCTCCGTCTTCCATATTTCTCATTATGCTTTTATGATGGAGAAAATCCCTCCAAATAAACTTTATTTTTTTTTTTTATTTTTTATTTTTTTCCTTGCGTTATGCGGGCCTCTCACCGTTGCGGCCCCTCCCATTTGCGGAGCACAGGCTCCGGACGCGCAGGCTCAGCGGCCATGGCTCACGGGCCCAGCCGCTCCGCGGCATGTGGGATCTTCCCGAAACGGGGCACGAACCCGCGTCTCCTGCATCGGCAGGCGGACTCTCAAGCACTGCGCCACCAGGGAAGCCCTAAACTTTATTTTAAACTTTACTTTTCTTAAAAAATATTAAGCTCCAGGTGTTCTGCATGCTGACTATAAAAATGCAGAAAGATACAATTCATAAAACTACTAATAAATAGTCATTCATTAGATTGGTGCAACACGATAAAATGGTGGCAAATAAAACCCCTAAACTGGGTTTGTTAACTCTTTTGCAAAACACATGTTCATGCCAGGGATTCGCCTGGAATGTTAACAGTGTAATCTGTTAGACGCCACAATATCCTTCCCAGACCTTCCAATAATGTCCCATGACATTAGTGTATTTTTTTTTTAATTAAAGTAAATGCAAACAGATTTGGTCTTGATAATTTGGTGAGGAGAGTTGGTACGTTTCAATGAACAAAACAGATCCATTGGGCTTCCCTGGTGGCGCAGTGGTTAAGAGTCCACCTGCCGATGCAGGGGACACGGGTTCGTGCCCCGGTCTGGGAAGATCCCACATGCCGCGGAGCGGCTGGGCCCGTGAGCCATGGCCACTGGGCCTGCGCATCCGGAGCCTGTGCTCCGCAACGGGAGAGGCCACAACGGTGAGAGGCCCGCATACGGCAAAAAACAAAACAAAAAAAAACAAAAAAAAACAAAAAACAAACAAACAAAAAAAACAAAAAAACAGATCCATTTTAGCAGCTGTTTCGTACTCTGCTTGGTACAAGGGATTAAAAAAAATGGCAAGGTGGGTAGTTTCTTCTTGATGGCAAAGAACTAGAAAATTCTTGGTCTTGGTCTGTACAGAATTGCTGAAGCCCCCAGCTACCTGAGTAGAGAAAGTAGCCCCCGGTGGCAGCCCCTTCACCGGCCCTACCACGCTGGTATCCTGTCCATCATATACTGTCAGCACACAGGACTCAGCTCAACTATGTTACCAACAAGCAGTTAGTCCTGTACACTAGATCAGGTACTGAGTCCACCAACATGCTATAGAACCCCTTGTCAGGCTGCATTTTTGAGAGAAAGCCTGGATGAGAACAAGGAGAAAAATCTCACCCACACCCCTCTGAGTTTTAATTCCTGGCAGTTGAGTGTCAGTTGCAGCCAGACCAGGGTAAACCCACATAGTCCTTTCTAGGGCCATCAAAGACAAAGTCAGAGAAGGGCAGGCAGGAGAGACGGGCTGTGCTCTCTTCCTCACCCCCATCTCTTACTTCATGACTCCAATGTATTGACAAGAAAACAGGCGCAGGGAGGTGAACTGACTTATCCAAGATGTCACACAACCGAACAATAACACATCTGAAACCAGAGCCCTGATATCCTGATGCCCTGAGGCCTGGCATTCCACTAAGTTAGGAGAGGCAAACTATGGAAGAGAACAGAACCACTGGCAGCCTTGGTAAAGCTGAAGTTTTGAGGATATCATTTTAAATAATCTTTGGAAAATATTCTACAAGGCCCAAGGGAAAGATATTTTTAAAAAAACGGTGTCCTGCATTAGGAATATACTTTTTACGATGGACTACATGACCATAGAGTCCTTAAATATTGGATTTCAGTAGGAGTGGCAGAACAAGCATCAAGCTTTGCCTGGAGCAAAGTTTCATGGTCCTGTCTACAATTTCTCACGATTCCGACAGTTCAACATTCTTTAATAGAAAATAAGAAAGGAAGCCATATAAAAGGTACATGGTCTTATACTTAAAATCAGCATTCTTCGTTGGAGACTCTCTTGTACAAAAATAGAAATGAAAACCCAATTAAGTTAGTACTTTTTCGCCTTTTCATTTTGAGTTAGATTAGATATATTAATCTTGTTTTTGTTGAAAAAGAAATGAGGGTTTACGCTGGAAGACAGCTGTTGTAAAATCTAGGAGAATTTCCAAGGAATAGCTGGGTTGAAGCAATGGTTGTATTTTTTATGCGTATTTAAACAATCTTCATCAGTGTGTTCTGAAATTAGAACAGAGCCTTCAAACTCTTGAAAAGCTCAAGAACACATGTCAAAACTGCATGCCTTTAGCATTCTTTTAGGTAGGAAATCTTTACATGGAGACACAGATTGTGAATCTAATGGGAAAGAATGCCAGTAATTTCTACCTTGATCCACACTGGTAAACAACAACAACACAGGATTCTACTGACTTAACCAAAAGGACAGGGAGTGTGACCAAACCTTCTCTCCTAGCCCTCATCTCTGGCTGGCACATTCACTTATTCACAACTATTTATGGAGTGCTTACTATGCATGAGGTACTGTCCCAGTGCTGGGATATGGCAGTGGACCAGACAGGCGAGGTCCCTGGCTTTCCTGAGCTTAGTACCAATGGAAGGAGCCAATGAGATAACCTTTAGATGGTGGTGAGGGCGATAAAGAAATTAACACAGGTTGTGTGACAGTTACCGGCAGGGCCTGGCTCTTTCAGCTAGGGTAGTCAGGGAGGGTCTGTCTGGAAAGCGACCATTAAGACAAGGAGACAACCATGGACAATCTGGGAAGGAGCCTTCCTGGAAGTGCGCAGGATCAGAAAGACAGCCCAGTGCGGCAGCCACCCAGAGAGCAAGAGAAGATGAGATTCGAGGGCCAGGCAGAGGCCAGATGGCCATGGTTTTGGAGACCGTGTTAAAGTGCTTGGATTCAATTATACTTGAGGGAGGCTGCCGGAGGGGTTGATGTGGGGAGCAGCGCTGGGGGTAGGGGGGTCATCAGAGATGCTATGTGCTTTGGAAAGCACCCTCTGACCTCTCTGAATAGCCACCTGAACTGTCCTGAACAAAGAGGAAAGCTATTCTCTAAAACACCAGCAGTCTGCAAATGTCACATGCTTCATTCAACTCATCGTTTTGGTACCTAAATCCCCCAATCCCTTTTTCTTTTGTCAAGGTGGATGGGGGATACACTACGCCGTATTTCTTCTCCACGGAAGGCCAAGCAGGGTGGCGAGAACCTCCGAGGAGCACAGGTGTGGCTGTTAGGGAGGCTCGGGTCTCCCAGAAATAGCCAGGAGATGAATGCCATTGCCAACCGTGTTTGGAGGCCATACCATGTGCCAAAGAGCAGCTGCCCTTCCGTCCTCCAGAGTCTGAGGATGGGAGGAGGGAAACTCATAAATAACATCCCTGGAGACATGACACTAAAAGTCTAACATGAAGGAGGATGCATGTTGTTTAAACTCTGCTGATTTCCTGAACAGTTGAAAGCCCTCCCAAAGTTAGTTCATCTCTCAATCCGTTTTAATCTCTTTTAACTCCCATCTGTGTACACCTAGAGACCTGTTCCTGACAAGCTCTTTAAGGCGGCTAAGTGTGCAATATTATCTCTAATAGCATTTCTCAAATCTGGCCCTTCATTGCACTAATGAGGCAGGCCGGCCACGGTGAGGAACACAAGCTTGACAACTAACACCATTCTCCCCGTGCATGCCCCGCAATGTTCAATAAATGGGCGTTGGATGGAATGCTCTTTTTAACAGCCTCCATCAATGGACCCACTGATCAGAAAGCAGGGGATGATCATTACTGAAAGCACAGTAAGAAGGAAAAGGAAACCAGCTTCACGTGATTTCAGAGGTTGTCTTTAGGTAGGTGGAGGAGGCCCAGCACATTAAAGAGAATGCAACTCCACCCCGGATCGGAGGCCTGACCAAGATCACATACCGAGCTGGCAGCAGGGCAGGGACCCACATACCAGCTTCCTGACCGCTAGCCCCGTGCTCTTCCTGCAGCCACGGAGGAAGCAGAAAACCAGAATGCAAAGAGTTTATAGCTGAGTGAGTACAGGCTGGAGGCCTTGAGGTGAATAAGCCTGTGGGCATGTCCCATAACATACTCAGCAAGGAAACGTGTCCCCCTCCTTAATCCCACTTATGAATGAGGATGGGGGCCTCTTTCTCCATCCCTTTTACTTTTCTTCTGTTGCCCCAAACCTTGCATTTGAGACAAACAGAACTGTTTTATTTCTTCTTTTCTTATCACCTAGGTTTTTCTCTGAAATAATTTAATACTTTTCCCTTAATAGCTATTTTTTTGGTAATCTTTATATACCCAGTTCTGTGTTACACACATTTAAACTTCAGAAAATTCTAAGAAGAATGAGCTAGTATTTTCCCCATTCTACAAGGAAGCTACGAGAGGTTACACTAGGCACCCATGGTCACAGGACAAAATAGGTGGAGCTGTGATTTGAACACTGGTTCATCAGATTCTAAGGTTTTCATCTCTTATCCACAATCCTAAACTCCCCTGAGAGATAGACATCAAAGACATAGTTCTGACACCCACCCAGATATGAGCACAGTAAAGTCCCCTGCCCTGTCTCTAACTTCTTAAAAAAACTGTACCTTCCCCAAGCCTCACTGGGAGAATGAAGTCATTTCACAGTGTATACCTATATCACAACATCACATGATACACCTTATGTACATACACCTTTTATTTGTCAAAAATGAATAAATTAAAAAAAACACGATTTCATAGCTTTATTGATAAAACAAGTAAAAAAGAACAGAACAGAAAACAAATCTTGATTCAGAAAAGCAGCCACAAATATTTCTAAAAGCATCTATTTCTATGCAGTGGTTAAAGATAACGTGAATTTATTTGGGCTCCTTAGTATCTGTAAGCCAGAGATCCATGGTTACTTTCAATGTCTGAGTTAGATTTCAGAGCTGAACCCCAATTTCAAAGGGTGAAAAATTTGAGACTTGAATTTCCAGGCATCACAGTTTTAAGAATCAATTGAAACAGGTCTCTCTCACTTCTCGCCTTCATTTAGTATTTTAGTTGGCCCTCCGAGGATACTTTCTTCTATTAAACTGACCCTACTGAATTTTGACCAAAGGGAACATATCAGGTCCAATCGCTGCGAAAACAATCTAGCCAATGGACTGAAGAATAAAATAAAACTTATAGAAAGTTATCAAAATTCTTCTACTACCGTCAAATGTCGCCCCCAGACAATTCACAACTCTGACCACCATTAATTAGTTCAATACTTCCTTCCTGAAGTGCTGAAGGACCTTGAATTTGGCAAAACCCAAATCCATTTTCTAGGGCCTTAGCTCTCCCTTGTGTATAAAAACGGAAATGCAGCTTGCTAGCCATTTTGCCCCAGTAAATCTGATGACCCAGGTTGAAAAGCTAAAAAACGCCATTTGGTAAAAGAAAAAGAAAATGAATGTTTATGTCTTTTAACAAAAAGCAAGCAAAGATGATACAAAGTGACAAAGCAAAATACTAAAGGTATTATGCACATTATACTTTAGATAAAGGATCCCCCAAAATCTTGCCCGTATAAAATGAGGTCTTTTGGGAGCAAAGGACATCTCGAAGAATCACCGATGCTCTCAGCTGTGATTACGGCTAGGAGATTCCAGCCCCTGTCTGGTTTCAGGCTAGATCATATGGTACTTAACCCAGCTCAAATAGAGGAGACATTTTCCTGTTTCAAAGATTTCTAGAGAAAGAAAAATCCTCTTTGTATAGATGAGGAAATAATTCTGTTATTTCTCATTGTGCATTTCAACAGAATTTCAAATATTTTGTTTGAAATCCCAACTTCTTTGAACTTTCTCGGTACTCTTTCCAGTTCTTTGTGACTACCTTTCCTTGGATTTCTCTTTTTCCCCGCGTAGGTTTTAGCACAGGCTGGTGGTAGTGGAAAGCTGACTATGGGACCTCATCCTGTATTTCCAACCTGGTGTTAGGTAGCTTTTCAAGACACACAGGTAAACTCCTGTGTGTTACTCCTGTTACATGTTACTTTACCGATTCCCTCTATAATTATATGGTTCAGGATTCTCTTACTCCGTTCTCTCCACTTTGAGCTGTGGGAAGGGGAAACCCCAAAAATCCTTTTAGGGGTCAGTACACCTAACTATGGAGATGTCATTCAGGCACCGAAACTGTGGGAAACTCAGGCTCTTATCTGGTGACAGACTGGTTGAAGGGAAAAACGATGTTCTGTGCTGCCTTTCCTCAAGGTCCCTCTGGAAATTCTGGGGCTTCTAAAACTAGCTGTGTCTATCATGAGATTTAAAGATCTGAGGAAGTGAGTCTTACCCCCATCATTTACATAACATGGTTTGGGACCCAACAGTACAGGGCACTGTAGAAACAGAGCTTATACCATCACCAGAGGCTTATAAAGTATACCAAAAGAAGCATCCTCACACTCATACATAAGGACCGCAGTGAGAGACACCAGCAAACAAGAACCTTTCCAAATTACAGTTCTGAGACATCAGATCGACTGTGAAACAAAAGCATATTCCAAAGTTTGTTCCCTCCATCAGGCTGGCAGTTAAATATTGTACAGAGCACATAATTTAGATTGCATTCCAATTATCTTCAAGTGCTAAAGGGCACGAATCAATCACTTGGCAATTAAATTCTGGGATGTCACTAAATGTTTAGGAAGGGAAGGATTCTGAAGTTGGCAGAAGGACCAAAGGAACAGGAAGAACAGAAAAACCAGGCATTCCGGAATTCACCCTCCCACCGTTTAGTCTTACAGACACCCCAATTTTACAGAGCTCCTGCCTCAACCATGATTACAATACTAGCAACATCGCAGCCCATGCACACCTGGCTGAGGTTAAACCAAAAACACCTGACCCCTTGGGCTCATCAGACGTCTGCCAATTTAGCTCTACTAATGCTCGCCCTCACATATAAATAAAGATGTTTTCCCAAGAAATTATCAACATGAGCCAATTATTGGTTATGTGAAAATGCACACACACACACACACACACACACAAATACATAACAGAGCACCGTTATCACCCTGGGTACCCCATGGGAAAGCTATAAAATGGTAATGGACATAAATACTTTTTTTTTTTTTTTTTTTTTTTT